CAATTCTAGTAAAACATTATATATCCTTCTAATATGTCCTTTAGTATCATCCCTTACTTGTTTCAAAAAATTCCCATTTTCCATAAAAGAAGCAGTTTTTTTATCAATTCGCCATCTCTCTTGAATTTGTCTATACACAAGCCAAGAAAAGTCTGGATACTTCCGTCTCAAAACATCTATTGATTTGAGGCACCATTCAGTTTCTTATAAACAAATTGTACAGTAGAAGTGTGTAGAGATTCCTCCCTTCCCCCGTGTTTAGCTACTATCAACCAAAAGTGATGATCAAACATTTTTCATAAATGTTAACAAAACAATTGGATAATAGATTATGTAACATCATGACTTTAATATTATGTGTAGAAAAAAAATTAAATTGTAAATGCCACTATTCTCAAGTATACTATTTATCTGAGAGATTTCTATAAATTGTATTAAGAGAAAAAAGTTCTATGTTGTTGATTGTTTATATCCTAATACAGTGATGGCGAACTTTTTAGAGACCGAGTGCCCAAACTGCAACCCAAAACCCACTTATGCATCGTCGGGTGCTGGGTGGGTGTGGCCCATCCGGTGGGCGTGGCTGCGGTGGTAACAGCAGATTGGGTGGGACTAAAAAGTTCAATCAATCAATTCCAACTTTGCAAGATCTTTTTTTTCCCTACGAGAAGTTGAAATTGACTGATTGATTGAACCTTTTTTTTGTACACAGCGGCGGAGGCCTAAAGTGAAAAGGTTTTATAAAACCCAGCTCAAGGCCTAGGACTGGGGCGACGGTGCGTGTGCCCACAGAGAGGGCTCTGAGTGCCGCCTCTGGCACCCGTGCCATAGGTTCACCACCACTGTCCTAATACTTCCAAATTGTCTTTAAAGTCCAGGTTTGCTGCTTAGAAATTCTCCTAGAGCTATTATATCCTTAAGCATTTTATTTTGTGCCTTTCAGTTTGAGCAGTGTTTTATAAAATTTGGCCAAGAAAAAAAAAGTATTTTATAATATATGTATGGAGTTGTATTTCAAGATCTATTGAAAATCAGTCTTAATTATTGCACAGATTCAAAAACAGAATATGACTTAAAATGCATTTTAAAATATGACAATATTTTTAAAGGGATTATCTCCATACCTGCTGCTCTGTGTTCTTTGAGAGCAAATAGATTATTGCTTCAAGTGAATAAATGAATTCCTTATTTCAGACAGTAGATGTGAAATACTGTTTTTTGAACACTGGGTGGCAAACTTGCACCATTTCAAATAAAATTCCATCTTGGTGTAAAGTGGAATGAGGAGAGATAAATAATGTATTTTTTTTTAATGTGGCTAAAATTTCTTAACATGAGTTATTTTTAAGAAAGACAGATTTTCAAAGTCCATTTTATTTTTTTAACTGCAGCATTTTAAATAGAGCACAGTACTATTTATCAAGCAATATGACATATAGGCACTAATTGTGACTTGGAGTTGCACATCCTCTATGCATCATTTGCATGATTATATACTGCCATGGTCTACAGCTACCCTGATGGCTAATAAAGGAATAATATGCTCTAAAACAGTAACGCTCAACCGGTGATCCACGGGCTCTGAGGGGAACCTGTTATATCGTCACGGGGTCCACGAAGGCTTGAAGAAATGTTATGATTTAAATCTTGACTTAAGTCTTGGTGGTCCGTGGCCATGGTTTATGGCCACAAAAGGTATGATGAAAAAAAAGGTTGAGAACCACTGTTCTAAAAAACAATCCACATGATTTGTACATGCAATCTGCCTGCTGGGCAAGAATCGTTATCAAAAATCCTTTGTCACCCTGTTCGTGGCTACCAGTATATATAATCACTATTGGCTCTATCAGCATTTCCTCCCCCACCTGCCTTGGCGTGTTCACAGGAGGTGAGCAGCGCAGGGCCTGGCTTCCGGGGTGATCCTTCCCCCCCCAGATGCCAGGCCCTGCGCTTCTTGCCACCTGTGATTGTGCTGAGGCAGGTTCAGCTTCTTGTTAGCTTCGCCTTGCCCGACCCAGCCTCTCCACGCTGTGAGGAGAGTGCTGCGCTGCCTGCCGAAACCGGGCAGGCTGGGGGCTGGGTGGCAGATGCCAACTCTCACTCCGCTCGCGGCGTCCCTTCCCTGGAGCCCACAGACCCGGGTGTGTGACGTGGACAAGGCCAATTGCTGGTCACCTCCAGCCGATGGTGCCTTTCTTCATTCCCCATGGAGGGTGACACTTCCCCAGCTTGCCTGTTTTTCTCCCTCCCTCATTGCAAATATCTTCCTGCCACTCTGCTCTTAAGGCTGTGCGGCTCTTGTCCAGGAATTTACAGTGGCCTTTCAAGCCATGGCCACTGGCAGTACAGCCACCAGCCGCGCTGGCAGCCTCCCACTCCCCTTGTCCCTTCCTGGCCACAGAGGGAGGGAGGAAGGAGATGGGAATGAGAAAGATGGAGGCAGGGAAGGAAGGAGGGTAAGGATGGAGGGAGGAAGGAAGGAAGAAAGGAGATTGGAATGAGAGGGAGGAAGGGTCTGAGGGAAGTCCTGCCTTAGTCCTGCCCTGCTGCCCTTTTGCCATCCCCTTGCCCCCTCCTCCTGGCCTATCCTGGTTGTCTCCCATCCTATCATTAAGGATGCTTTGGTTATAATCATATTTATTTATTTATTTATTTATTTATTTATTTATTTATTTATTTATTTATTTATTTATTTATTTATTTTATATACCGCCCTATCTCCCTTACGGGACTCAGGGCGGTGAACAGGCGATACTAAAAACCACAATAATAAATAAATAGTTTCTGTGCTAAAATCAAATTAAATAACAGGCCTGTTCTAAAAACACCCCATACAAAACCTCTACTAAAACTATAGTCTGCCCCCCCTAACAGTCTGAGGGACAATGAGGTGGCCCCCTGTTTAAAAAGTTTGAGGACCCCTGTTTTAGACCATTCTTGGGGCCAAATAGAAAAGAGTCTGACTTGCAACAGACAAATGGTAATTTTATCAGTGATCGGTGCAGCTGACAAAATAAAATATAATAACATCCCCTCACAGTGCAGTTGACCTAATTCGTATTGAATTACCATTCCTAACACTAAGGTAATTGCTGTGACCATGAAGGCATTGATATTTTTCCCTTAAGGCTTAAGTCTTGTCCATTCTGTTGTCATCTCGCAAATCTTCCATATCATAGCATTTTTCACATATGGAGCTACTATTGCTGAACCTTCCTTCCTTCCTTCCTTCCTTCCTTCCTTCCTTCCTTCCTTCCTTCCTCCCTCCCTCCCTCCCTCCCTCCCTCCCTCCCTAATAGTAACAGAGTTGGAAGGGACCTAGTTCCTGTCTGCCTGCCAGCCAGCCTGCCTGCC